CAAATCTGAGGCACGGGGGACCCACTGGAGATGCACAGTGATCTAGGCCAACTTCTTAGGCCACTCCCAAAAGAAAATACTATATACATTCTGCTTTGCCTCACAACATTCAAATCCCCCTCCATACCCAGCTAGAAACCCCAATCATTAATGGTTTTAACAGAAGCCTCCAAGAAACAAGACAAAGGACTCCAGGTCAAGATGAGGGTCGTTTTCCAAAGTGCAGTCTCCGTGTACTTGCTCCTTGACCTCCAGGACCTCTAGGGCCTGCATAAGTCCATGACACAAGGCACAGCAGGGAGACTGCAGAACACTGCTCTCGAGATGACATGGCTGCACAAGTTGTAGGCCAGGCTCCGCTGAAGACAGAGAGGACAAGGCAAGGGAGACCCTGGAGAGGGCCAGGACTGCTTGTTACGCAAAAGCAAAGTAGCACAGCTGGGCTCCAGGAGCTGTGAGGAATGAGTTCTGCTGCTGACCCAGGCGGGGCACACTAGGGTCTAGCGCACGGGATTAATCCAAGGGATATGTCTTGGTCCAGTGTTCCAGGAGAATGTGGCAAAAGTGCAGAATGATACCACAAATCAGTAAGTACTTCTGCTGCGCACTGAACCCTTCACATTTAACACCTGAAAACAACACTGGCAGCCTCACTAAGCAGGGAGCACTTCCTATGTGGAGTCCTCATCCCCAAGAAGGCTGTTCCCACAGAGCCCATCTGCCTAGGATACTCCACGGACAAGTGCTCTCTGCACACCTCCACTCTGACAGCAAGTGGAAGGTACCAAGGAAGGAGGGGTGGTTTCTCCAGCAAACATTCTCAACTCCCCACTTGAGTTTGCTTCCATAACTGAGAAGCAGGATCTGAGTTATACACCCACAGTGCTCAGATGCGGAGGCTGACTTTATTCACAGACTGCCCAAAACCACCAGCTGCAAAGAACAGGGATGCATACTGGCAGACGCATGCCCTCACACGGCATTCGCCCAGGGACTGCCCTGGAACATTCTAACCAAGAGGCGAAAGCCAGATGCCATTCTGGGCAACCCCTCACCCACGCCCCACCCACCCACCCACCAGGGGCTGAAGCCTCATGAGCATGGAATTCCAAGGACAAGGTACAGCCCTGGTTTTTCTATCCATGGGCTCTTGGAGTCACATCCTTGACCTGAGATAGGCAAAGTTCAGACCCAGCCCATGTTCCATCAGGCTGTTGGTCATCCTAAAGGTTTGAAAAAATAAAAATAAAAAAGGGAAGAAGGTTCCAAGCCAAGTTCACACAAGACAATCAGGCTTCATGCTCACCTATATTCTGTACATTAAAAAATGTAGTCAAAGACCCACTCGGCCTGATGTCTAACAAGCACATCATGCAAATGGCATGACCTTTTCCAAGGCTCCTACTTTGTCTTCTGACTTATAGACTATAGAGGCGACTGGTGTTCTCACGCAGAGCAGCCAAGGTGCGGGACAGCGGTTCCTCTTTGACTCTGGCAATCTCTCGAACCGTGTGCAAGGCCAGGCCAGGGTGAGCATACTGGCAAAGGCTTTTGGGAACCTGGAAGACATCAAGAGTACAGAATACTGCTGTCTTCTGCACACAACTGGACATAGAACTCCCTCCCAGCCCTTCCCCAGCAAGGACCTCTGGGACTTTCCTGTAGAGACCCCTTTACCTGCAGGTGCAGGGAGAGTCCTAGTAGGGGGCTCTGGGTGAGCAGGGTCCCACGCTTCTGTGAACTGCCCTCTACAGGGCAGGGCTTTGCACTGCCTGGAAGAGAGTGGTTACCCTTCAGCTTCTCTGCCCCCTGGACTTTAGCTTCTGCAGAGCAATAACAAGGAAACATCTGCATGGCCAGGGTGGGACCTGGAAGTCACTGGGATGCTAGGGCTCTGACCACCCACCTCCCACCCTCTCTTGGTGCCTCATCGTGGCCTAAAGACAGCCCTACCTGGCGCGGGAGGAAGTAGGGAGCATCAGTCTCCACAATGATTCTCTCCAGGGGGATCTGTTTCACAGCATCCCAGGCCTCCAGACTGAAGACTATGTCAGCACTGCAGTGAAGCCCACAGACATGTTCGGGAAGTACTTCAGCAGGGGCTCAATGACCGGGTAGCTGCCGGTGAAGCAGTGCCTGCGAAGAGAGCACCAGAGTGTGTTTGCCCAGTCCTCTTGCAGCAACTGTAGTGGCTCCAGGCCTCCTGCCCTTTCTAATGAGTCACAGACACGAAGTAACTGCACCCAAGGGGGGCTCTCCACAGTAAGCAAAGAAGGAGCTGGAGCCCAAAGCAACCACAGGAGCGACAGGGAGTGACAGCAACCCCTCCCATGTCATATAGCACTGTATAGCCACTTGTAACAACACAGGCACAGCACTGCTTGTAGCAGGAAGAGAATTAAAAATTGACCCTTCTAAAGTTGTAACTGCAAGGCCCGGCCAGATCTCAGTGGATTACAGCACTAGCTTAGGCAGATGCAGGGACCACAGTTCGATCCCTAGCATGAGGTGCCAGCCTCACCCCTGCGGCGCGCTGAGCCAGCAACTGAGACTGGGCATGAAGGCAGATGCCTGTCATCCCAGCTCTTGGGAGGCTGAAAACAGGAGGATCACTATGAGTCCGATCTGTGTAGTGAGACCCTGTAGACCCTGTACTAAAATTCAAAACATAAAGTTGTAACTGCAGCATAAAATATTATGCTTATGTATTTATTTTTTTCAGGCACTTTTTTTTGGGTGGGGTGTCCTTCTGAGACACGATTTCACTATGAAGTCCACTCTGGCCTTGAACTTGTAATTCAGACTATCCTCAAATCCCAACAATCCTCCTGCCTCAGCCTCCCAAAAGTGCTGGGATTACAGGTGTGTATCACTATACCCAGCTTTTTTCTATTGCAAACTTTTTTTTGGTACCAGAAATCAAACTCAGGACTTTGCATTTGCCAGGCAGGTACTGTGCCACTGAGCTACATCTCTGGGGCCCACACTCAGCTTTCCTAAGACAGGGTCTCGCTATGTAGCCCAGACTGGCCTTGAACTCATGGGGATCCTTTGGTCTCAGCCTCCTAACTGCTGGGATTACGAGTGTACACCACCATACCCAGCATGCCTATTTAGTCCAAACTAGTACACATAAAAAATGAAAATACTAAGGATGTAGCTCAGTGACAGAGTGCTTGTCTAGTATATAAGGCCCTGGTTTCCTCCCTCAGCACCACAAAAAAAGACAATGGACTAAGGGACTTTCTTCTCTATGTAACTGCCGCTCATGCTCTTTGCACCCTACACTACAGCTCACCCATCTGGGAGCACAAGGCCTCCATCAGCCTCAACGCCACTGTGGCCATCCTCACCCAGGGCTGCCTGTCACATGGCACTACGCAAGCCCACGAAGCAGAGCGCCTGTGCCCAGCCCTGCTGCATGCTGTGTTCTCTGCTTGGCCCCCTGGAAGGCAGCAGCATAGAGGCTACAGCTCCATCTCCACAATTTTCATGAACCCCTCCTGCCCACTGTTTACAAGTCACCTCTGTGTCACCTCCCAGTCTCTTCTAGGGAGAATAAACATCTACACCTAGCTGTCAGCCTACATCCTATACACGGAAGCCACAAATGACCTCACTGTCCCGGGCATCCCGAGCCAAGCCAATCCCCAGCACACATACAGGCAACCCATGGTATTCACCAAATGGCTTTGGAACCCCATGTGTTGTCAGACAAAACACATCCTGCACTTTAACTGTGAAAAAAGAGCGTTTTTTTTTTTTTGTTTGTTTGTTTGTTTTAATGTATTTAGTACCAGGTCTCACTACACAGATCAGACTTGTAGTGATTCTCCTGTTTTCTGCCTCGCAAGGGCTAGGATTATAGGCATGTACCCAGTCTCAACTGCTGTCTCAGTGAGCCCTGGGGGTGGGGCTGGCACAGCACGCCTGGGATTGAACCCCAGTGCCTGTGTCTGCCTAAACAGGCACTTTAATCTGCTATCTGACTGGCCCTAGCAGCATTCAATTGAAAAAAAAAAAAAAGGGAGAGAAAGTCTTTCTGAGATACCCTGAATGTTCTGTGTGTTAAGCCACTGGACCCAAAAGGACCAACAGTCCTCACTCTAAGAACTGAAAGCCCCTTTTTGTGCACTGGTGACTCAGGGTGTCTGCTAAAGCCAGATGCCACATAGAACAGCAGGTAGGACAAGTCTCATATTGATCAACTCTGCTGTTTAAAAAAGGTGCTCAAGACGTGAAATGGGCCCAGATTTCCCTCACTGCAGGGAACAGACCGCTGAAGACACAGCTTAGCACTGCTCCCCTCATCGCTGCTCCTCCTCAGCCAGCTGTTCTGACCATCATCTGCCACTGAGACTGCAACTGCCTACCTATGGATCTTGTAGTCAAAGGGCACACACTTCTTCATGATGCGCAGCAGATCCTCATCAGCTTCTCGGCAGTGAATAACCAGAGGCTTCTTCAGAGACACGGCCAACTGCAGCTGCCTCTCAAATACCTGGGAGGAGACAATGAGACACCACCACATGGTCAGGGCCACTTCAGGAGGAAGTCCCTGCTAGCACCTCACTGCATCCAATCTCCTACACAACTTAAAATGACACCACGGAACTGTGACAGTTGCTGTCTACCTGACACTTTCCAGAGTGGGGTGTGCTCAGAGCCCTGGGGCTGTCAGCTAATCTGCAGTCCCAGCAGGGCCACACAGCAGCAGCAGCAGCAGTGAGGGCAGCAACCTGAGTGCCAGGAGGCGGGAGGGCCAGCACAGGGCACCTGCCCCTATCTCACTGTTCCCCTTGTTACCTTGCGTGTTCTGGCACAGGCCTGGCACTTTCTCTGTGCAAGAGCTGCGCCATACACTCCTCCAATACAATGCCCAGTGCTCAGAAGACATCAAATATGTGTCAAAAAAGAAACATTACTTATTTTTTACAACTTTTTTTTTTATTCAGTCCAAACTGGATATCCTTCAAGGTCAATGTGAACAGATCTATTTCATTCTTTTTAATTATAACCAATTTAAAGTCTTCCTTAGTAAACTACACTTATTTTTAATATAAATCAAAAATTAGAGCTAAGCAAGGCATGGTGGCACATCCTTGTAATCCCAGCAATTAGGGAGGCTGAGTCAGAAGGATCACTAGTTTGGGTCTTACCTGCACAACTTAGCAAGATTCTATCTCAAAATTAAAGAAAGAAAGAAACATTCAAAAGGACTGGAAGAACATCGCTGGGGTCAATGCCCAGTTCCATGGGGTGTTTTTTCTTCTATCAAGATTAGAAAAATAGTACTTTGTTAAGAGCAAATTACCTCATCTAAAACAGTATTCTCCTGAGCAGCTTTTCAACTATAGAATGTAAGCATGTTAGCAAGAAACAATAAAGTACATATGATAGTAAAGCAATATCCACTTGAGGACATTTATAAACTAATGCAGGTTGTTTGACATTTTGACAGAGACCAGCCAATACCAATTCTGTCATGCCACCTATTTGCTCTGTGACTTCAACTGAAAAGAGGATCACAGACATGCCAGTAGTGGAATGCTAGGGAAAATCTTTAGATGGAGCCAGACCCCACCAGGTGCATCTACTACCTCTTCACCTGCCCCTCCTTTGACCCCCTACCAAGGCAAGAAGTTTATTTCTCTTGTTTTTTGAGGCACAGTCTCATTATGCAGTTCAGACTGGCCTCCAGCTAGCTCACTTTGTAGACCAGGCTGGTCTCGAACTTGCAACAACACTCCTGCCTCAGCTTCCCAAGGGATTATAGGGATTATAGGGGTGCACCAGTTTGTCCAGCAAGAAGTTTCAAGAGACCCCAATTGTTGCCACTAAAAAGATATTCTTCAGAATAGTCAGGAGCTAGGCTTAGTGGCACACACCTTTAATCCCAGCACCTGGGAAGTTGAGGTAGGAGAATCACTGTGAATTTGAAGCCAGCCTTAGCTACATAGTGAATTCCAGGCCAATATGAACTACATAGTGAGACCCTATTGTCAGTAAACATACATACAAATAATAGCCAAACAAACTATTATAGCCTTAGGGCAAAATATTATACAGCTATATAAAAAGCAGTTTTCAAAGTATAGGTAATAGGAAAATATGTGCAACATTAAGAACTAGCAGAACTACTACTTTTTAAATTTCTTAGTTTCTTCTTCTTCTTCTTCTTTTTTTTTTTTTTTTTGGTGGAACCAGGGATTGAACTCAGGCCCTTATGCTTGCCAGGGAAGCGCTTATTACACTGAGCCATCTCCCCAGCCCCTCTTCTTGTTTTACAGGGCAAGGACACATGTATCTCAGTGAGAGAGCATGTGCCCAGCATGCCTGAGGCCCTAGGTTCCATCCACACTCATAAGACATACTTCTATGATTTAATGGCAGGTGATTGTAAGACAAGCTACCAACTATCCCTTCTGAGTTTCCAATGAACACTTCCATGAAATGTATTGTAGTTTGTAAAACACTTCCAAATTTCAAAATGTTAAGACCAGAGTTCTCTAGCATGCAGTCCTGTAGCTGCGTGCCGCTTCCCTCAGCACTTGTCTTGACTAGTAGACCTACATGCATGAACAGCAGGAGGCAGAGTTGCCACTCACCCAACACACTCTGGCTCCCCAGGGTTGTCCCCAGGTGATTACTGCATACTAATTGCTTCAGTAATAATTAATTCCAGGCAAACTGAGAGGCAGAGGCAGCAGGGTTCAGCCAGCAAGATGGGTAAGGACACTCCACTCTTCCTGGCTTTTGAATTGAGGGATTCTGATAATCATATTAACGGTGTGTGCAAGTTACATACACATGGAGTACCTGAGATTTAGTGCTTGGGATCTGTGAACACTGGCACAGACCTGTAATCCCAGCACTCAGGATGCTGAGGCAGGAGAACCTCTGAGTTCAAGGCCAGTCTGGGCTCCAAGGTGAGCTCAAGGCCAGTCTAAACTACATAGTAACACCCTGTATCCAAAAAAAAAAAAAAAGAAAAAAGAAAAAAATCTGTGAAGAAAAAAAGTTAACATGCCTTTTTCAAAGATAGCAGGATAGGGCCAGGGAAATGGCTCAGTGGAATAAGCGCTTCCCTGGCAAGCACAAGGACCTGAGTTCAATCCCTGGTTCCACCAAAAAAAAAAAAAAAAAAACACAAAGACAGCAGGATAACCACCCACTTTAACCCTAATATTTGTATTCTTTTCTTTTCCACTACTTTCTAATCCACCCAGAAAGATCAGGTAACAGAGCAAACTTTTTCTTTTTGGGGGGCTGGTGTTTGAACCCAGGGCCTTATGCATGTCTAACTCCTGAGCCAGGTCTCTAGCCTCTAACCTCTCTCAGAAGAGCCAGATCTGAACCCCTATCAAGGTGGCCAGACCTGCTTTCAAGGATACACCACACCATAGCACCCACCTCAAGCCTATGAATCACTGTGACTGAGGTAGAGGTGCCCCAGAACAGCTGCTATCTAGCACCATTCCCCTCCTCTGAGCACCGTATTTTAGACTTACAGCAAGAACTCTCTTCCTCTGTTCAGCCACTTAAAGTGATAATCCCACCTCAGCCTCCCTGGTTCTGGGGTTACAGGTGTGTACCACCAGGATCAGCTGCCACCAGTATTAACAAATGTTTTCCGGTTGTTCTCTCCTTTACATGTAGCTTTGTCTTTTACCCTCCCTACTGCCAGTAATTTATTTCCCCTGACTCATATATTCTACTCTCAAGTGCCATCACAGGCCAAATAGCTGGACTGCACTGATCACCTATGGCACTGCTTTGAGCCCAGCTTTCTAGATGGTATGGCCATCTGTTTCCACACCCAAACCTGAGACCCTCGTATCTCAGCAAAGAAAAAGGTACTGCAAAATACCAAGAAGGATTAAGTGAGTATATGCTGACAGAACTGAGAGTTTGCCTGAAATATCCCTCTTCCCACACGCTCCTGGCCTGTACCACAAAAAAATAAATAAATAAATAAAATTTTTAAAAAATTGGGAAAACAGGTATAAAAATATTTGTCTTGCTCTCCTAAGTATCAATTTCTTCTCCTGCGTTCAGGCTGAGTTATTTTACTATCAGATTTGGAATCTAATAGATTAACACTTCAGGCCAGATCTGAGACAATGCCTAAAGGCAAGCTGGAAAGCAGCTTCCACAAAGCAGGGCCACTCCCTGGTTCCTAGGAAAAAGGAAAAAAAAAGCTAGCAGGGCCACACATGCCATCTCCCTGCTCAAGGCCCGCAGTTTGGGGTGCAGGCAACCATAGGACCCAGCACTCCATGACACTGCCCAGGAAAGCAAAAGGTCTCCCTATGCATGTTGCGGGGGCACCCAGGAGGGACGAAGAGAGGGGCCATCGTAGTCCTCCTCATTCCCTGTTAGAACCCTCTGAAATGCTGTTACCAGCACTATTACTCTGCTAAATACTCAAAAACACTGGGAGAGAAAAATATTAAGACAGCAATAGTCATCATCTCTGGATGAATGAGAATTATCTTCTTTAAACGTTTTTATAATTGTAAATATCCCATAATGGGAAAATGCAACTTAAAAAAAACCCAAAAAACCATGGGCCAAGGAGACAGCTCGGTGGTGTTCACTCCTGCCTAGCAAGCATAAGAACCCAGGTTCATCCTGGGTACCACATGCTGTGCCGGCCCCATGCTGAGCCAGTCACCAATGGGGCATGGTGGCTCACACCTGTAATGCTAGCACTGGGGAGGCTGAGACAGGAGGATCTCTACAAGTCTGAGCTGCATAGCAAGACCCTGTACCAAATTAATAAATAAAAAGGTGGGCCGGGCAGACGGCTCAGTAGAATAAGCGCTTGCCTGGCAAGCTCAAGGGCCTGAGTTCAATCCTTGGTTCCACCAAAAATAATTTTTTTTTAAAGTAAATAAATAAATAGGTTAAAAACAAAACAAAACAAAACAAAAAAAAACCACAAAGGCTCTTGCTTCCCAAGCAAGCAAGAAAGCACGTAAATGTCTCGACACTGATATTAGCCATGTCACAAAATGCCTCTTTCCCCTCTTAAATGCATCAGAATGGTGATTGGGTTGGCAGCATAGCTGAAGAGGTACAGGACTTGTGCATTCCTAGCACCACAGGGGAAAATGCTGAGAGGTAAGAAATAGCTCATAGCTTTGAAAGCATCTGACAAATGAAAAAGGAAAAAGCTCTGTCTAGATTGAAATTGTTTTGTTCCAAAGTAAAGAAAACCTTACAGTTAAGTTTCAACAACTGAAGGAGTAATTACAACTATAGCACACTACAGCAAGCCTTTGTTACCTTGTGTTGCTCTGGGACAGGCGTGGTGCACTTGTAAGAGTAATCCAGGCCCATTTCCCCAAAGGCCACAGCCTTAGGGTGCCTTAAGGCTTGCAAAAGATTTCGTTCTTGACTCTCACTATAGTACCGTGCAAAATGAGGGTGACAGCCAAAGGCCCCCCAAACCTGATCCTCTTTCAATAGCTCCTCCCACAGGCAATCTGTCAGTGTCCGAGGATCACAGAAGTCTGAGATGCAGCCCTGAAATTCCTTAGGGAAGGAGCTGCTATACATTCTCCTGAACTTTGTGAAGGTCCCTTTGAAAGACAGCTTCGAGTAGAGCATATCCAAGTGGCAATGAGTATCAATGAAGCCTCCCTCCAGGCTTGCCTCCCAGTGACTCCTTGGCAGGAAGGTAGATGTGTTCCTGTCCACCTGTCCTCCACTAGAACGAGGTGGTGTCTCCTCTCGGAATGTCCTTTTCTCCTTTGTCTCTTCTCCGGAACTTCTGGAGAAATTAAATGAGCGAGAATTCTTTGATCTGCCTTCATCTGAAGCCTTCAGGTCTCTGGAAGTGTTCTGGGCACCCACTGTGGGGCTAGGGGAATAGTCACATGAAAGGCTGCGGCTGCTCTTCCCAGTTTGTGCTGTGTCATGGCTGCTGCTGCACACAGAGCGGTAGCCTGGGGTCTTAGGGCTGCTGCTCCAGTAGCTGGCATAGTCACACCAAGGACTACTATACAAATGAGGAGGGTACATGACATAGTCAGTGGGAAAGGAAGAAGGCTCTGGAACTGCTGAGTATTTTAGCAAGACGGGCTCTTCCTGAGAGAATCTGACTGTGGAGACCTCATCCACATCAGACCAGTCACTTCCAGAAGAGGGGTGCTCCAGCACCACCTCCCTGTCTTTAAGCTGCAGAAAAGAAATGACAGTTTGTTAGTCTTCCCATGTGCAAACAACCCTCGTGCTTAGCATCATGGTGTGAGGATGGTCTGTTCCTTCTGGAGCCCAAGTGAGAGAATAATTCCCACTCCCACTGTGAGGGTCCAACAGGATGGACACTTAACCCAACTGTAGTGTTTGGAGATGGGGCCTTTGGGAGGTGGTTAGGTTAGAGAAAGTCATCAGGCTGAAGGCTCAGGATTGAACCTTGGTGGCTTTATAGGAAGATGGGGAGAGACTAGATGATATGACACCCAAGTAAGCTCACTGTCTCTTGCCATGAGATGCCCTGCGCTCCTCAGTTCTGCACCAGCGAGAAGGTCCGTGAGGACACAGGCACAGCCCCTTCACCCTGAATCAGAACTGTGAGCAAATGATACTGCTATTCGCAAAGGCATTGGCAGACATAAACCCTGGCTCATTTTCTGTGCAGTAGTGCATTTGCTCACCTTTCACCTGGTTGCTTTACAATCTCCACAGATTCCAAAAGTGGTACCTGCCAGGTTACAGCGCAAGGTGCAGCTGTGAACAGTCCTACCAGGCTTAAAGAAAGCTCCTGTGATCACTGGACTTGACCCCTAAAGGGGATGCTATGCCTGCATTCCTTTTTTTTTACTAGTCCCTCTGGAAAACAACTGCTCTGCAGAATGCAGTCCACACTGGGGATCTAAGGGAAAGCTGTGATGCCTAACAATGTTTCCAAAACACCCAACATGCAAAACTACAACTGCTGCCATTAATCTAAAATGTGCCCCCATGTGAACTATGCCTCCCCCCAGCTACAGAATGCAGAAGGAAAGCTGTGGCATCCTTCCTTCCCCTTGTACTCTCAGCTGTCTTCCTCCAAAAGCAGCCAGCCACATCAGACCCAGAAGTCATCTGCAGGTACAGGTGGGGGCTGAACTGTGGTGCAGCACCACTGTCACCCCCTCCCATCCAGCCTAGTCAGATGCCTGCATCCCTCAAGCCATAAGAGCCCCTACACAGGTCTCCCCAATCCACTTTCTCAACTTGAGAGCGCAACACTGAAAGCAAAACCAACTTCTAAGCCACTAACTAGCAAGAGGAGCAGGAACAGCCATGCCTTGCATCAAATCAACTGAAGACTTAACAGAAAATAAGCAGCACAAGGTCAGGAGCTTGTTTTTTCACTGAGATCTGGACAGTAACCACTCATAAATATCCACTTAATCTGTAGAACTAATGACAAATTCAGCTTCACATCATTACCAAGTGGGGAGCATTTTAAAAACATTTTTAAAAACCCATTCTACCCTGATACTGTGACCCAATGGCCCAGAGTGAGGCCAAGAAATCGGTCTAATTCTCCATGTAATTTTCTTCTCCATGTAACTTTGATGCAACCGTCTCAAACATACAGCCAGCACAGACAGACTCCAACCAAAGTCAACTTTACTCAGTCCATTTCTTGCTAATGACACTGTTTACACTTGTCAGTACCAGAAAGCTTAAGAGACCTTATAAAATTACTTTAATACTTTTTAAATGTACATAATAAAACAAAAATTCACTATGAAATACCATTACAATCAAACTGATAAGCCCCTTAAAACAGATCATGTGTTTCTGTTATATTCTCTAGACTAATTCTCCATACTTCCACATGTTGCAAAACGAAACATACTGATCACAATAACACTTTTTTTTTTTTTTTGGGGTAAATACTGCGAGTTGAACCCAAGGCCTTCACACTGGGCTACCTCCCCAGACCATTTTTATTTTGAGGCCACATTTAACCAAATTACTAAAATGCCCAAAATTGAGATTGCCTGGCCTCACTCTGCCTCCTGAGTGCTAGCTACGTTACAGATGTTCACTATCATCATATTCAGCTGCGACAACAAATATTGAAATGAATTATAAATTTCCCATTCTAAGTTCTCTGCTCTATATTTCTTTTTGCTATTGATTTTTTCCCCCTCTCTTTTGTACTAGGAAATCAAACCCAAAGCCTTGCCTAATCTAGGCAAATACTCTCAGAGAGTTATATCCCTACCACCCCAGGTACTTTCTATTTTTTGAGAAAGGGACTTATTAAGTTGCCTAGGGTGGCCTTTAACTTGCAATCTTCCTGCCTCAGCTCCCCGAGGAGCTGGGACTGTGTTAGCTACTGTATCACTTACCTCTTTAATAACAGAAATATCCAGTAAGAACCATTTCTAAAATGCAAAGCAAACACTGAGTTTATAGCTCTGTGTGAGAAGAGCCACTTAGCATGTAGGAGATTCTGGGTTTTATCCCTGGCGCGCGCACACACACACACACACACACACACACACATAATCATTTAAATTGCAGCATTTTAAAGTTTTATCTGAGGCCAGCTGTGGTAGTGCATTCCTGTAATCCCAGCACTTGGGAGGCTGAAGCAGAAGGATCACCAAGAGTTCAAGGCCAGCCTGGGCTACACAGTGAGTCCTAACTGCATAGCAAGACCCTGTCTCAAAAAAACAGAAACAAGTTTAACTTAACTTTTGAAGTTATGTGGTAGGTACCTGGGTATTCATTAACTACTATAGTCATGATTTTTTCCCCATTCATGTATTTGGTACAGGGTCTCACTATGCAGATCGGACTGGTGGTGGTCCTCCTGTTTTCAGCTTCCTCAGTGCTGAGATTGACCCAACTTGGTCACAGCTCAGTGCACCCAGCGGCGCACACATACTATAAGCTTGTTCAACTGAGATAACAACAAAACTGTAGCCTTGCCTTAGCTTGACAAGTTCTGATTTTTCCTGCTGAATTTTCCAATGAGACATACTGGAGTCACCACCACTCTCCTTTTATACCTGTACACCGGAAAGTCAAAGTGCGTCTCATACACACTAACACATAACATCTTTGTGATCCAGCTCTTATGTATCTACATTAAAACATACATAAGGAGCTGGGTATGGCGGTGGCGCACACCTATAATCCCAGCACTCAGGTGGCTAAGGCAGGAGGATGACAAGTTCAAGCCACTTGATGACTTAAAAAAAAAAAAAACCTGTCTCAAAATAAAAAAGAGCTGAGGTTGTAGCTCAATGTGAAGGCCCTCGGTTCAATTCCCAATACTGAAAATCAAGCAAGCAAACAAACAAAAACAATGAATACCAGCAAGGATCCAGAGGAAGAATGAACTCTCCTATGTTGTTGGTGGAAATGTAAACCAGTGCAACCATTTAGGGAAATCAGTAGGAGTTGTCCTCCTAATATTAACAAAAGAAATTCCATCTGACCCACCAACACCTCCCTTGGGCATATTCTCAAAAGAATTATAGGGCCAGCCAGGTAGCTCAGCAGATAAAAGAGCCTGGTCTGGGGTGCCGACCCCGCCCCCAGGACATGCTGAGACAGGGTGATTGAGACTGAGACTGGGCATGGTGGTGCACGTCTGTAATCTCAGCACTTGCAAGGCTGAAAAACAGGAAGGGTCAAACAAGTCCAATCTGTGTAGTGAGACCCTGTATTAAATACATTAAAAAAAAAAAAAAGAATTACGAAGAAATCATATTATAATGATAGGTGCATACCCATGTTTCTTAATAGTGCCACTCAAACAGCTAAGCCCTGGAAACAGATGCTTATCAACAGATGAGTGGATAAAGACAATGTGGTCTATACATGGGTTGGGATCTTAGCAATAATAAATGAAATCATGTCATTTGCAGGAAAATGGAACTTGAGACCACCATGCTAAGCAAAGTAAGCCAAACTCCAAAAGTTAAGTATCACATGTTTTCTCTTATATGACCTGCCTAAAATATAAAGTTTTTTTTTGAGGAACCAGGGATTGAACTCAGGCCAGCGTTTATTCTACTGGGCCATCTCCCCGACCCCATAAAGTTTAAATATCACATTGTTTTCCTTATGAGAAACCCAAAATATATATAAGGAGCAAAATAAAAGATACTAGGAAATAAGGAAATATTTTTCAAAAGGAAAGAGGAACAGGAGATGAAGAGACGAAGGAAGGGGAAACAGATTTTAAAACATTGATTTAAAAGAAAATAAATGGAAATAGAACTTTGGCAAATAGAGGGAAGAGTTGGAGGGAGTAGGAACAGGAGACTAAAAATAGAAGAGCTACTCTGCACACACACACACTTACCATAGTAAATGCAATCTTATGTACTGCAAGCAAATATTAGTTAAAAAACAATAGAGAATGAAAAGTTAAGACTCATAGAGATGAGAAAGGGGGCCAGGGAAAGGTGAGAAGGAAATGTCACGTGTGTGTACCAATTTCCCAAAACAAACATCACTATTCTATATTACAAACGTGTGTGTGTGTGTGTGTGTGTGT